TGAGGGGGTGTGGCAGCACCTGCTGGGCCCGTGTGGCCGTGTGCTGCCCCGTGTGCCTCACGCAGCTCTGCAGCTCTGCGCAGACTCCGGGCTTCATTTCCCAACACTGACGTGTCTGCCTCTCCCTGGGATTTTTGCTGAAGAGATCAAAGACCACGTCCAGCTCTCGTGCAAAGGGTGAGTGATCTTGTTACTGATCTGCTCCTCTGAGAGGGACGGAGGGAGGGAGGGAGAGTGGAAGGTGGTGGTGGGTCAGCCAGTGTCTCCCTCCTCTTGTACCGGGAAAAAAGCTCATAGGTAGTGCAGGACAGGGCTGTAACAGTGGCTCTAGAGTGGGATCCAGTTGTTTTCTGCCTCAAGTACTTCTGGAATACTTGGTAGAAGCAAAGGCCTTGAGTGTTTGTGCGCATAGACTTCGGTTGAGGAAGGGAACTGTCTGAAGATCCTCTTGTTCTCAAGCGTGCGCCGAGGTTGTTGGGCATGTTTTGTTTTCCCGTGCTTGCCGTCTTGCAGACCTGAAGGCAGTGCCCATGGGAGTGGCGTTTCTCTGCATAGCTTGGGCAGGAGTTCAGCTGTTCTCTCGCTCTGATTTAGATCAGATCCCTCCAGTGCTTTTAGACATCTTTCTTAATAGCTCTTATCTAATCCCGTGCCTTGAAATTTGTACTGTTAGGGGTGGTTTGTGCAGGAAGTAGCTCACGTCTGGCTTGCACTTTCCCCAGCACTTCTGTGCCTGTGGAAGGGGGTCGGTGTGTGGCACAGCACATGGAGGAACCTTGGCAGCAGCCACAGCTGATGTCTCGTGCATTAATCAGACTGCTTCTGGGACTGGGGAGTGGCTGACTTTACAACTAGCTTAGTATTTGGAAAATATTTATTTTGTTAAGCTTTTTTTACCTTGATTCTTGTGCAGCTGACTTGCGGCTTTAAAAAATAAATTCCTTCATAGTGTTTCTGGCTTTTATTGCTTGCCTTCTAGGGGAGAGATTTATTTTGTTAATCCTAAATACGCATTTGTTCAATTTCACTCCATCCTCCTTGTCACGTGCCCCTGGCTGCTCACCTTTCGATCAGGTACATGGATTTATTTGAGCATGACGCGGCTGCTGAGCAGCTTGCTTTCAGTAGGCCTTTTCTGCTAGGGAGGTCTCGGGGATGGAGCATGGCACAGCTCACTGACGTGGGCTTTACTGTGGCGTTGGGCTTGTAAAAACTTGTGAAGGGACCAGCCTGGCAGCGCCTGGCAGTGCGGTCCAGAGAGAGAGGAGCTGGCTGCCTGTCGCTGCCCGCCTCAGCTTCCTCCTCGCGTGGCATCAGCGCCCCTGTTGGCCTCCCGCGTGTTTCGGGCATGTGGCAGGTTATGAGGAGTTGCAGGTGCCTTGCAACTGTCAAATGCCTGTTCAGAGTTTGTGATAGAAAACAGAAATGGAGGAACCGAGCTGGAAGCTGAGCGTGTTTTGCCTGGAAAGGGGTGCTGTGAGCTTTTTAAGGGAAGTGTGTAGAAAAATGTTGTGAGGGCTACTGCACTGGCTTGGAGTGTTGCTACTGTGAACACGAAGTTGTTGCTGCTGTTATTTCTCTTATGGTTTTCTTATGAAGGCTGAAACGGAAATTTAAATGCTTCAGATTTAGCATTAGAGGAGTTTAGTTAAAGGACCCTGGGTGTGAAGCAGGAAATAAGCCTCATGTTGTGACTGAGCATGCTCGCTGTACCAGCTGGCAGGGAGACAGAACTGGAGCGTTAGACAGGAATGTGAGAGTTCCTCTTTATTTATGACTATTCAGAAACCTTTATAATAAATCACTGACTTGCAAGTTTCATAAGCCACTTAAGTGAAGGACTTGCATAGAGGTTTAATCCCTTCTAATCTTGGGATGCTTTTTCACCTCTGCCGCAGCAGGGTACACACCAGACTTAATTCCCACCGTGTAGGATCCCCACGGGCAGGTGGCGCTGGGTGCAGGAGTGTTAATTACAGAGCTGATCCTGCTGGGTGTCACCTGGTGTCAGGTCAGAGGTTCCTGCTGCTGTTTTATTTATCCAGTTTTGCTGGGGTTTAGAAAACGCCACAGTTAGTAAAAACAATGAGAAGGAATGATGTGGTAAAATGATGGTTATTGAGTACGTTTTGCTTCTCTTTGAGCTGTTACAGACTTCTGTAGGTGTTGCAAGTTGGATTCTTCTAAGATTAATCTTGCTAATAGCAGTTTGCTGAAAATTATTTAAAGAAAGTGGAATTTTGCTTAGCATGGAATGATAAATCTGAATTGGTTTTGGTTTTTTTTTATCCCTCAGATTGAGAAAGGGAAGAGAACACTAACGACGTCTTTCTCTAATCGGATTTGTCTATTAAAAGAAGCTGTTCCAGGATCAAGGTAGGCAAATGAGTACTGAGATGATACCATTGCAATCAAATCCTTTTCTCCAGCATTTAGCTGTCATCCTTCCTAGTACAGGTATATCATTTAACGAAAACCAATTTAAGTTCCTGCCAAGACTTTGGTAAAGAGGGCATTTCTGAGTATCATCTTTGCAATTCAGAAGGAGAACTATGACTTCTGCTAGTGGCCTTAAACAGTAATGGTTGCAGTTGGACTGCAGGATTGTTATAGGTTCCTTCCAACCCAGCTGTTGTCTTCCGAGTCTTGAAAGAAATATTCTGAAGCTGAAAGTTCCTTTTAAAATCATTTACATACTAGATTTTTTTTCCCTTTTGAACACTCCTGTTAAAGTAGCTTGTCTTATCATTTGTTTCAAAGAACTAATTATAAATGCACCACTTATTATTTACAGCTGAGGGTTACTAAACAACTTGGTTTCAGAAAGGGGTAGAAATGAGAGGTAAATAGGTAAAAAAATGCAGGGGAAAACAAGCACATAGTTTTGCTGTAAAAATACAGAACTTGGCTCCAGAACAGTCCTTAACACTGTACTTACAAATTCTGACAAATTTCCCTAACTTAGTTCAAGCACGAGAACATAGGCTAGTGTGTAAGAAAATAACTGCTTTTGTTGGATTAAAATGGGAAATCTCCTCCTGAAAGCCCTGTGACGCAGACCGACGGTGGGCTTTTCTGTTTCAGGGCCCTCGCTGGAGGTGTCGCCTGGCCAGCCGCCCTCCTCTGCAGCAGCACCGCGAGAAGGAAACACATTTAGAGCAAACACGAGGACTAAACCGAGGCAAGAGTAAGTCCTTTTTCTTGTTGTGTCACTAGTAACTACAATTTTTATTATTTTTTTTTAAACCATGAACCACAACACTGAAGTTCTTGCAGTCTCAGGTGTATCATGTGCCTTGGCGACCCTGCCCAGCTCTATGAGCATTTGGATATTTTCTTTTTGCGCTAAGCAGTCAAGCCTACTGTTGGAGAGCTACAAAGTGTTTTTAGCTTTGTCTATGCCATGCTTTTTTCACACAAACTTGTGAGTTTATAAATTCTTTATTGAAAAATACACTTGCAATATTTTCATACAAAGTAACGTAAATGGTACAGAGTAACAAGAATTGTCTGACGGTTTCATAAATATTTTTTACAGAAACATCTACACAATTTCTCACTTCGGCCTTCTTGTTATGCAGGTAAGAATGAAACATGCTTTTTAAAAAATTTTATTGAACTTACAATGGCAATAAGTTCTCACCTTCCCATTATTCAGAGGCGCAGGACTGACTGAAAACACAAAGCTTTTGCTTCATTAGATAAACTTCTAGAATGTGTGTGCACTGTATTTCACATGACCACCACCACTATCCTCAGTTACGTCACTGAAAAGGAGAAAATTGGTATTTGGTACTGAGTGTTAGAATGTTTAATGCCTTCCTAGTAAGTCTGGTAACTAGTTTAAATGAAATCAACTACTAAGTCTAATATATGCACCATTTTTTTATCTTGTTAGTAGGGGAGAGATTTCTCCCAGGCAGCCTGATTTAGTCCATTAAAAAAGCCACAAAAACAGCCCCACCCCACCCCCCAAAGCCGTGTTCTTTATAAACATAGGAAAAAGCTACATATAAGTGTTGAGAGAGGGACACCACCGGCCTTCTGCTGAGTAAGTGAGGTGGCCAGGCCCTGACTCCCAAGAAAAGCTATCTGAAGAAACATTACAAGCGTATAAAATTCCTTGAAAAAAGCAAACGTCCCTCGCTTCCTGCATTCATTACTGCATGTACATCAAGTGAGACTGAATTCTTAATGTTACTTGCTGAAGAGGGCAGCTACGGGATGTCAATTTGAAAATAAATACAAAAGTCAAATTGCTTCAATACAGAAAGACGTCTGAAGTCAGCCTTTGAAAAAAAATATTCACATTTAGAAAGTGCCATTGCAAATATACAGCAAAAGTAATCTGCCTTAAAAAAAATGCTTCACAGCCCTACCAAAAGTGCCACCTTTTGAACGTGAGTTCACTTTTAAACATTGCACAGCTAAAAACAATGCATAAACAAAATTATCTACCTTTGTACAACAAGGTGCCCAAGCATTAAAGCAAAATAATGTGGTTTTCAGGGGCACATGGAACATCCTGAAGATGGAAAGAAGCGACTCAAGACAGCTTCCTTCAGGGCTTAAAAAGGTTATTCCCATCTTCCCTTTCCAACCAGAACTGGACTTTGCTAGGAAATTACACATAAGTAATTTTTTTTGTGGAGGACGTGACGTTATTGTAAAAAAACAAGATTGCGTTGGCTGTGATTACCTTGGCGCAGCACTCGTGAGGCTGAAGATGAGAACAGGAAAGCACTGATGGAACAGCCTGAGGGGCTGCTCAGAGCGCAGGGGTTCAAGGCCTGTGCAAGGCCAAAGCCGAGCGCGGAGGCAGGCAGCTTTGGAGGGCATCCTCGCTGTGGGAGCTGCTCCTCCGGCCCCTCCCCGACCAGGCCCAAGGCTCGGCGACCAGACTCGGCGCAGGCTGGCTGGGGCTGGGTGTGAGCCGGGAGGAGGCTGGGCTGGCTGCTGGCGGCTCCGTGCGAGGGGCTGGGCAGCAGCGAGGCAACAGCTCAGTGAGAGCCTCTGTCGTTGGCCACATCTTGCAATCGTCGTAGCAGAGCCGTGTGGTTCTCCTGGCAGATTCGCTTGGCTGGTGCTTCGGTACCATCTTCTAAGAGAATGCCTCTCTTCTTTGTTGGAGTTTCTCCAGTTCTAACCATGCTGTTAATTTCCTTTAGCCTCTGGAGAGAGGAGAGGGACAAAAAGGTGGAATTATCTCTCGTTACTGTGACTACAAAAATACAAAGTGAACTTTTTGTTAACTGCATTACAACAGGATTACATATGCTTTATTTCTGGAGATCTGTACCGCACAGAGCACCTCCTGTGACAGACCAACCTTTTTAATCACTGTACTAGTCTGTCCGTTACTAGAAAATGCTAGTGTGTTACTCAGACTCCAGCAAGCTGCTTGTGTCAATGCGTGTCATGTTGAAAGGCCTTTCCATCCACGTTAGGACTGCTGTCCTGCACCACCGATGCGATAATTCCTATCTCAAATGAAGATGCTTCTCTGGGAAGACTCTGCTTCATTCTCGGTGACCAGAGATGACAGGATTCACCTGGTAAGGCCATTTGCCATTTGGAGGACTTTTTCCCCACTAGGTAGAGAAGATTATGTGACTGTACTTAATGTTCTTTTTGAGCTTGGACACCTGATTGCTTTACAGCTTCTTAGATACCTGAACTGACAGTCTGAAAGTATGTTAGATAGTGTGAACAGACAGGTGTGTTGCACAGTTGTGTCTGTTTTCACAGCCAAAAAGAAAGGGCAGGATTTGTAAAAGCAAACGAAAACACTCTAGTCTCACCTTAGATGGGCTGCTGCTGAAATAATAGAATATTTTCTCTCGAGGAGAGAGAGCAGACTCATTTTTGTGTGGCGAGATGTACAGCGGGTGGTTCTGGGAAAGCTGAACTCTGCGAGGGGAGCTGATCCTCACAAAAGGGTAGGGCGAGAGCGGAGGAGAATCAATCTGCTCAAAAGAAAGTGAAAATCACCCAATAGTTGGTGTCTGATCCCAGGCGGTGCTCCAGTAAGACTTTTGGGAGTTGGTTACCCTAAACACAGTTCAGGTTTTTTTCCACTAATGTCATACTGTACTTATTTAGAACAGACGCAGGTTTTGTCATGATATTACATCAGATTAGTATTTTTTTGAGTTTACTTTTCTAACCCTGTCTGAGGCTGGTGGATAGTGCTGCTCAGTGCTGTGTGTTTCATGCAGGAGAAAACAGCAAGCAGGCATCAGAAGTACTTGGTATTTTAGCAGCAGAGCATGTCCTTGAGGTGAAATTATTGTCACAAATAGAAAATCCCTTGCACTTGCTTACAGGGAGGTTGGCAGAGTACTGCACTGCATGTACAGTAAAAAAGAGCTAGTTCCTAACGAAAAGCACAGAGGTTCACTTACTGCATTTGAAGTGTACTTCAGGGCAAAGTCTTTAATCTGCTCAATGTAGACGTTGTTATAGAACTGTATAAGGTCCCCTCGCTCCTCCTCCTCGGTGTCGCTGTTGGCGCCCGTCAGGCGGGTGGGCGTGGGGGGCGCGCTGTTGGGGTGCGGCACGGGCAGGGTGCTGCTGGATCGCATCACGGGGCTGGAGTCGCGGCTGGCTGCGAGGGGAAGAGCAATCGCGCCTTTACACCGGCCCCGCACAGCCCTCCCTCTCCCCCTGAGCCTCGGCTGCAGGCCTTCACATTGCAGCAGAGTCCTCGCCAAGCTGGTGTCAACAGTAGCGATGCTGCTTTTGTTCCCTTTGCATCTTCTTCCCTTACGGAAAAGCAGCATCATGTTAAAGACCAACGAACTGCTGAGTACAGAAACACAGCTGATCTCTAACTGGATAAACTGCAGGTGGCTTTTCTGTGTACGCTGAGTTTCATCACAACATAAAGGGAGCAAAACCTCCATTTTTCAGGCATTTGTGCTCTACTTTAAGAGTAGCTTTTTCTTGATGCCAGCTGGCACAATTTCAAATAAGGAACGGTAGCCTTTTCCAGCTTGTAGTAGAACTGCTCGGCTTGGTAATACTTCCTGCTGGTTTAATGTGGGAAGATGCAGTATCTGTTTTCTCCTCCCCTCCCTGCTACAGAAAACAGTATCTATAGTTTATACTATCATCAATTAAATATCTTGAAAGCTGCTGGTAGTAATACACAGCATCACTTAGAAGTTAATCTAAAATGTGTCAGTTCAAATATCAAGGAGAGAATCTTCAGGGATGTCAGGTACGCCGGAACAGGTGCTGTCTCTGAGGACAGCCAGCTGCTGCGAACGGAACTGCTGCAGCTCCGTGACTGGGAGAAGTAAAAGCAGAGCTGGGACACGGACAAGCTCCGACTTCCTATCGCTCTACAAGGATGTGTTCTCTGGTGTGCAAACTGAGCTCTCTGCGCTGAGGCCAGCCTTCATGGTAAACTCTTCAGCACATGCGGCAATAGATTTGAAACTGTCCAAGTGGGTGTAATACCAGGCTGGAGTTACAGCAAGTCTAAAATGTTATCAATATACTCTTAACTGTGTCCACGTTTACCAAAGAAGGAACTATTTGGGGTGGGGCAACTCTTACTTCATGCTGTTTGGCTAATGAAATTAACAACAAACATGTGAAATCACTCACTTATTTCTTTGTTTCTCTCTTTACTCCTGTCTGTGGGTGAGTTCTGCTGGCTGCTGCTATCGCTGCTGCCAGAGCGGCGCCGTCGTCTCCTGCCTTTTATCAGGACACTCCGATAAACCTGCAGGGAAAAAGAGGGAGGAGGCACAAGAAAGGCAGGATGGTTCGATGAGCAGTTATGTAGCGTGCACCATGTATCTGCGTTTTAGAAACTTCACTGTGGTATCAAATTGCTTCTTGCAGGGGAAAATACAGCCTTCTAAGAGGAGTGTTATCTAACAGATACTGACTCCTTAGGCTTTAAGTAAAAATAATTTCTATTTTATGTATAGCTTAGCAAACAAAGCTTTCAGGAGTGCAGGATTTTGGGTACGACTGTTCTCTTTGGGGCAAAACGGCTCACAGACTGCTTCACTGAATACTAAATGTTACTTCCGAAAGTGATCCATTCCTAAAATAGAACTAAGGCATTTAATGAAGTGGATACCACATCGTCTAATAGTGACTGTGCTTACGTGACTCTTGGCTTGCGGTTGTGTCCGATAGCAGCGCATTATGTTCTGAAACGATCGATCTTCCTTAGTAACCTAAGAGGAGACAAAGAGGAAAGGTTAATAGATTTTCTGTGGGTTTTTTGCGTTTGTTTGGTGATGGTTCTGTGTGGTGTTTTTGGATTTCGATGTTTCTGAGGAATTGTAAACTTTGGAATATTAAATCTTAAAGAAGTTGTGTGTGTTTGATCTGTAGCCACACCTCACCTTAGCCATGACGTAGACGGCACACATCAGCAGCTGATCCAAATGTCGATCCATCATGATTTCAGGGCAGTGCACCAAGGAATACTCAAAACACGTCCAGACCTTTTTCCGCAGCTCATCGGGTATGTCAAGTTTGACACAGAGATCTCTCAGACGAACGCTGGCTAAGTGATACACCTGTGGAAATGGAGGCTGAGCTCAGGGCCATGGCAGTGCTGCTGCTCTTACCCAGCTGCAGCGTCGTTCTGGCCTGCACACCTTGTGGAACTTGTGCACACGCCAAGCCCAGAGAATAACTATTTGTAACTCTTTTGCTTACAGGACACAGACGTTCTCAGTACTGGTACTGACGCTAAGAAAATATTTGCTTGAAGCTTAAACTGTGAGTTGCCCTGACTGCAGGAAGGGCACTGCACAGCCTCTACTATTTGTTAATAACTTTTATTTGTTAATAACTTTTGCTTACAGGACACAGACGTTCTCAGTACTGGTACTGACGCTAAGAAAATATTTGCTTGAAGCTTAAACTGCGAGTTGCCCTGACTGCAGGAAGGGCACTGCACAGCCTCTAGAAACCACTGTGCTGAACAAGCCAGAATGCCTCCAAAGTGAATTTCTTTCCTTAAAGTACTTTAAATGGACCAGCTGGCCAAGCACACCATCTACCTCGCAACTCACGATGTGACAGCAGTGGTGACAGCCTGCTCCTTCGCTAGTGAGAAATTGCCTGCATAGGAAAACTACTCCTCGGGTACGTGTATGAACCGGCAGAGGGTACAGATTAACATTGAAATGGAATATTCTCTCATTATTACCAACAGTAAGTACGTATTTAAAAAGAAATCACTGAAAACTAAGCAAAGCACAAACTAGACTGAGAAGTACCTTTCTAAAGAAGAGTGAAAGCGAGCCCATCTTCCGAGGCCTGCTGGTTGCGGCAGTGCTGACTTGCTGGGCTTGTCTCTGCTCTCCCGGCGAGAGCTGCGGCACGATTAACTGCCCGGGCAGCTGCAGGGTCGCCCCGGTCATCTGAGTGTTCAGGGCTCCAGCCAGAGTCTGGGCACTGAGAGGCTGGATGGGACCAGGCACAGCCTGAGGCTGGGTACCTACATTGACTTGGACTGGGAAGAAGGTTATCCCTCCATTTTCATTGGCTATACCTGCAATTTCAGAGAAAGAGTCTGAAATAAGAGCAAGGTGGCGAGGTGGGTGTTTCCGTCATTTTGATTTTGTTTTTCCTAAGGAATTCAGTAATTATAGGTTGCTTAACCATAACTATATATTTCACGTATTAACTATGACATCGTTTCACCAAAAGACTTTGGACTTTCCACCGTAAGGAGATGAGAAGATAATGAAATTGAACCAAGTTGTTCTCACACTACTGCAGCTTTCATCCCATGCCAGTGCAGGAAGGAAGGCTTACTGAAAGAACTGTTTTATCCAGTAGGTGTTGGCAGTCAGAACAGCCTTGTGCTGCATGTCTTCTGTCTCCAAATTCTGCTCATCTAGTCAAACAATTTTTCCCAATTCTGAACCTTTAAACATACTTTTTTCTCCACAGCATACTTTCCCTCCTCTCCCCCTTACTGTGCACTAAGACTCTGATGGAACAAGTCTGAAGAATTCTAGAGTAGCTTTTCTCTCACCTTGTACTGGTATTGTCACTGTTTGCCCATTATTGGCGGTTACGGTGGCAGTTGCCACTGTCACCAGTGTCTGGCCGGGCACCGGAGTCACCGACATGGCTTCGGGACTCATGTTCTGCACAGGCACCGGGTTTACCACAGGCTGCTGGGAAACTCTTACTGGAGTCCCGCTGTCAGAGGTATTATCGTTATCAGCAAACAGTCTTCTCCGTGTTGGGTTGGCTGTAGGAGAGCTGTATCTGTCATACAGGGTAGTCGGAGAGGATGAAAGGCCTGTGGATTAAAAAGCCACACACACACACACACACGCATATAACTCTTGTTGTATAATCCCTGATTATACAGTGACAGAAATGAGAACCCAAATATATCATGCAAAGCTCTTCGGGAAACATTCTTAAAAATTTCTTATGTCTACATTTGTGGCTTACAGACTGCTTTTAGAGATGACTTAATCTCAAATAATGCTGTGTTTAATATTTTTCAAAGTTAATACATTACATTTCATTTTTCCAGTGTGCATGTGTAAGTGGTACTTAACAGACACACATGTATACATACATACATACATGCTGTTCATGTATGTAAGAAAACACTATCAGAATTGTATTTTATTCACACTTACATAATGAACACATCATTCTTAGAAGACTGGCTTAACTATATGAGTTGCAATAGAAACAGAATTTGCAACTGTGTTTGCAGTTAACATTAAAGCAGTTGCCTTGCTGTACAACACTTAAGACCATGGCTTTAATTTTTAAATTTAAAATGTGTAAGTATGTTGTGCTTAGAAAAGTCTCACCTTTTCCTAGTCCTCCAGTTTCAGCACGAACCTCGTTTACTCGTCTTGGTGTCAATGGTGAACCTACAACGCTGTTCCCGGCAGATCTCTCAAAATACTGAGGTGGCGTTACCTAAAATATTTGTATTTTTATTAGAATGTCGGTATAACAGATTGACTATGTAACAAATTTGTAAAAATGCCTGCACTACAGCAAACCTGTATGGCAAGAAAGTAAAACACTGAAAAACTTACTTACCGTAAGCCTAACTACAACACTACAGTGGTTGTACTGCTCTAAAAGACATGGTCCTGTAACCATCTGTCTGTGACTACCATTAAAAGTCTGCACTTTGTACCCCAATTCCTCTTGTCTAGTCATCTCTTCAGGTGTAACTGACCAGTCTCAATTTTCCCAGCTTGTCCATTTTGTTCATTGTTCTGCTACACTTTGCAAATCCTGGCTGAGAATCAGCTCAGCCCCATCGCTCCGTGGTGAAGTCTCTGTAGAGAGGCCCCTGCACAGACCGGAGCACGCTGCAGTTACTGGTTTCCCTGCACTCACCAGCTTGGAGGGTCAAGCTGAACTTTGGAGACATAAAGCCTCTCCTTCAGGGAATGGCGTCCACTCTCTACCATCCTGTCTGATTACAGAATCACAGAATGTTAGGGACTGGA